CAACTATTCCGGTAACTATGGCACAGATGACCATATAGCAACCATGGTACAAACAACTATTCCGGTAACTATGGCACAGATGACCAGATAGCAACCATGGTACAAACAACTATTCCGGTAACTATGGCACAGATGACCATATAGCAACCATGGCACAAACAACTATTCCGATAACTATGGCACAGGTGACCATATAGCAACCATGGTACAAACAACTATTCCGGTAACTATGGCACAAATGACCATCTAAAGACTGATGTAAATGAACCCATAATAATCATCGGTAAAATGTCAATGACATAACTATAATTCGGGTAGTGGTGTAAAACGGCTTACAAAAGCATTTAATTAGTGAGAGTCAGACCAAATGAGCAGTATGGATTTAAAGAAATCGTTTAAATTATTCATTATTGTAGGATTGATTGTGCAATGTTGTATCAATGAATATCTAATTTATTAATAGTTTAGAATTAATGCGCGAATTGAAGCATAAAATATTGATTAATAAAACTCAAATTTTATGAATAATATAATTCATATTTTTTTTACGTACAAATAGCGCCAATATAATTACAAAAAAAATCGTATTCTTGTCTAATCTTATTGAGCGCTATTTATATTTATAAAAGCAAAAAAAAAATAAAACAAAAACGACAAAAACGACAAAAACAATTAAATTTGTAAAATGCATTATCTTTACTTGGAGTGAGAATTCTCCGAATTAAGTTCTCTGCTCGCCTAAGATATACTGGTTATATTATCAATTTTGCGTATTACTTTTTTAATGTAGCTTTTTATGCTACTACATCCATACATGCATTCTATCAGTCTAGGGCTAAGTGAATCGCTTGACGATGAACGTTACTTGTGAGGTAACAAAAATAAAAAAAAGAAAAAGGATAATAATAATTCGAATAAAGTTGATAGGCCGAAGAATCTCGGCTGAACCGAACCAAAAGAAGATTTTACAAACATTAATCTTCGTTACAGAAACAGGAATCTGTAACAACATTATTATAGATTTGCAATCATCTAAATTTTTCTTCTCTCGTTGTATAAACACTCATTTATTGCTTTCGAAAAATTTTGAGTGATTCATTCATTTCTTTAAAACGATTTGTTCACTACTCATCAAAAACTTAAATGCAAACTGAGCTGAGTAAGCTGGCGCAATTTCATGATTGTTACGATCACCAAATTTGACATCAATGTGTCTAGTTTGTTGAAAATGTTAAAGAGATGTTTCTATAACAAGAGAAGGAGGTCTAGATAATTTTTAGTCTATAATCATGAAAAAAAAAAATTTGAAAAAATTACAATAAAAACCCTACACATTGTTTTCCGAAATTTGAAAGAAGAACTTTTTTGCATATTCAGTCTAAATGTGCCTTTTTTTCAAAACTATTTATGAACTTTATATTTATGAGATAAAAATAGGAAGTATCCTCTACCGATGAAACAAAAGACAATTCATATGGTGAAGCTTTATTAGAAATATTTTTTTTTCTTTTTAGTAGATGAGTTTTGGCGCAGTATGCATTAGTTGTACCATATACTGTTGACAAAGACTTTCTTCACACAAAATGGAGCCACTGAAACAATCAATCATAGTTATAATATATTTGCCACGCAGACTATATTTTTATTCATGATTCATTTGGATCAAAAAAATAAAAACATCGTTTACAGATAAAAAAAACAGATAGATAAATATACTATGATGTTGTTTATCAATCCTGCTTGATAAATGACAATTACAATGAATCCTTGAACTATTGACATACATTGAAACTTAGTGAAAACATGTCTATAGAAGAAATTGTTGAATGCCACTTTCTTTTGTAAAGAAAGTGTTAGAAAAGTCTAATGATCGCAGATCATGATATCTGTGTATTAGGCCTAAATGTCTTGTGATATATCAGCTCGTTTTAGTTTCAAAGGCCATCTCTTGCTTTTTATTCTTTAATTTAACTAGATTTATTTGTTTAATGACTAACCTTATTCTTAATATATTTACAGAAATCATCATAATATTTTAGCGAAACCATTTAATAGAGTTGTCAAGTTTAATTTCAAATCTTTGGCAATTAGTAATAGAATTCTCTTTTATGAACTGTATTTAACGAGAAAATAAGTCATTTAGAAAGAACAAAGAAAGAAGACAGCATAATATCTAACTCAAGAAAACTGAAGAATGGGTTGAGCATGTAATTTTACCGACAAGACTCAATGTGATCATCATCCTCAACTTTTCTATTCATTTTTGTTTATAAATTCTTTTTCATAAAGATTTATTTTCTGTAATTATTTTATTCCTCGTTGAGAAAATAACAAATATTCATGTCCAATTAAAATTAGTTAACAATCTAAGATCTTGAGTCAACACTGAACAAAAAACTTGTCGATTGAGAAGTCTAATTTTATTAAATAAATAAAATTATTTTAAAAAAGTTATTTCTTTATATATATCGATGTTTCTACAATAATAGAGATGATATTTTCCAAAAAACATGCATCAATATTTAAAATTGGAAACGGAAGACTATTCAAAGAATTTCTTTTCCCATATTTTATCGCTATAAAAATTTACTATTGCTTTATTAATAACTATTAGTTTATAACATTCTGAATGATACTAGTTTATACTGTTTAATATAAACCAAAAGATCAAGATCTACTGTGACTTTTGCTTCTATTCATTGAAATGAAATCTTTTGCTATGTCATCACTAATATAATTATTTACTACAAAAAAATACAATTATATCTTTCTTATGTTTGATCAAATACAGTAAAGATGTGCTTGTAATTAAATTAGATCATGTGCGATGAGTTCTATGACAGATGTCTAAAATAAAAATACTAAAAGTACAATCTTGTTATTTATCTTTATCTGTTCAGATTTATTTTTCTTTAATAAGAAATGAACACTTTTTTTTTATGTCTCGTAATATTATAATAAACAAAAAACTTAAATTTAATGAGGTGGATAAGGAGGAGGCATAGTAGGAGGATAAGAAGGAGGCATAGAAGTTGGATAAGGAGGAGGCATATTAGGAGGATAAATAAGTTGTGGAAGAACACTTCCACTATTCGGTGGTAAATTATATGTTGGTGGCATAAAATAAGGATATTGAGGCATTTGTCCTTGATATTGTGTATATCCTCCATCACCTGTATTTCCTGTATGTTCAACATTATGTGAAGGCGTTTTCCATGCATTTGCCACTCTAAAAAAGAAATGTCATAAATATGATTTTAAAAAAATTTCAAAAACTAACTGTGAACGAATCTCTCGTCTAATTTGTTCACTTTTAAAAGGATGAAACCAATTATTAGGTCTTTGACGAACATGTTCCATTGTCCAATTTTCTCGATATACAATTGTACTTAATTCTGGTGGATTAATAACTTTCATATGATTTTGCATAGCTATTGTATTAAACATATATTCAATAAATGGAAGAAAACGTCTTTGTTTAACATAATTAGCAATTGCATCTAATAATCTTCGACTACAACCAACAGCACACATCATTGAATGATACCATGGTGGTGAAAATTTTCCAACAACATCAGCCCATTTCCATGTTGATGTATCACCATATAGATTTTCATCATTTTTTTGACAAATTAAATCACCACCAGTATTTTCATTTGAATATTTATTATGTAAGAGAAAAAATGCATCAACTGATGGAATAAATGAATCATCTTCAATTAACCATACAAATGAATAATCATTTCGTTTTATTTGACAAAAATAATATAAAGCTTTATCCCATGATATACAATCTTTATTCATGTCAATTTTATTTGATGAATGATAACCATTTGATATACATTCATTATTATTTATTTGTATAAAATTTACTAATGAATTTGGTTGTATCTGAAAATTATTATCATCGATCATAATATAAATATCCAGATTGGAAGCTGAACGAGAATCTCGTGCTAATTGTTCAGCAAATTGAATTATTTCAGAATCGGGTGTACGAGTTAAATAACAAAAGGCACTTTTTTTGCTATTCATTTCGGATATATTTTTTTCTTTATGTTGGACTTATCTGGTTAAAACATCGAGATTTATACAATGACAACAAAAAATAATGACTGTTAGATAAGAAACAACAAAAAAAAAACGCTGTTTTTTCTCTACTCCCTCACTCTCTTTTTCTCTGTCAATTACACACAGGTGATTCATATTCTCAGATATGATTTCTAGATATATCCAGTAGAATATTCATCATTGCTATTTTCTCCATCGTAAATCAATGACGACGCTGGTGATGTTTGTGATGATGACCATTGTAAATGATTCATACGTTGATTCGTTTTTGCGTCTATTTGTTGTTCTAAAAATAGAACATAAATGATAGATTTTTATGAAATAAAAAAATTTAACATTTAATCTTCTTATATTTACCTGCTGATAAATGAAGTGTATCGACAAGATTAAGATTATTATTTGTCAATGTTGCATATGTGGGTGGTGAACTTGTTGTTGCGCATGGTTTTTTTTTCATTCGAGCACGAGCATTTTGAAACCATATTTGTGTTGTTCTTTTTGTTAAGGCTATTGAGTAAAAAAAAAAAAGAGAAAAAAATCAAATATATAGAATATGTTTCATATATATATGTGTTTAAGAGAAGAATAACATAAAAAAAAACAATAACAACAACAAAATTAAAATAACGCACTATCACCACTTTTGTTGGAACTTGAACTGCTGCTACTGCTACGTGTATTTCGTCTTCGATGATTTGTTTCTTGCTGAATATAACAATGATGTGAATGAGAATGAAGATGATGTTCGTGCTGAGGTTTTCGATCGCGTACCTTCTTCTGTCGAGCTCGAGTATTTTGAAACCATACTTGAATCACACGTTTACTTAATCCTAGAACGCATCAAATGAAAGATGTGAATTGGAATAGCACGAACATCATAATCACAAACAGCAAGAATAAAAGAGTTATCTTAGAATTTGATATTTTATAAAGTATCTCGAATAGAATAGAATAGATCAAATACAATAAAAATGTTTTCAAAAACAAACAGAAGAGAAATTTTGTCAAATAAAATAATTAACTCTGAATTAATGGAAAATTTTAACTCAACCATATAAAACGAATTCTCATATGTGAACATCGGTTGAAATATAAAATATTTCTTTTATCTTCTTCGAACTTATAAAATTTTATTTATCAAGATATTTTTTTCATAGAGAGAATCGATGACGAAGTCAAGGAGTGTCTCCGCCTTTTCCTGAAACCTTTGAGTTATCCTCTAGGAATGAGACAATCTTATATATAATAGGCGAAGAAAAAGATCTGCTTCTCAGCTTCAAATGAGTGTTGACTCTCTTCTACAAATGTTTTCAAATTGATTCTCACTAATTCTGACTCTATTAGAAGGACAAATAAAATGAAAATTCTAAGATATGTAACTCTTTTATATGATAAAGATTTTCATCGAAAAACAATCATTTTTTTTTTCATACCAGTAATCTGAGCAATACGTTCAAGATCTTGTCCATCTGGATTTGAATCAACTTCAAAATTAGCTTGTAAAATTTGTAATTGTTCTTCTGTAAATGTTGTTCGTACTCGTTTAGCTTTACCTTGTTTTGTATCTATAACAACAACCAGAAATGAAAATTAAATAAATATTCTTTCTTATTTTTCTACCTCCATCTTTTCCTTCATTTGTTTCATTTGGATCAATAAAATGTGTTTTACATAAAACATGACTACTTTGTAAAGCAAATTCTTCACCTGTTGATAATTGTCGTTTACATGTATTACATGCAAAACAAGCTAAATGATATACATGTTCACGTGCTCGACGAACCCAATCACTTGCTTGAATATGTCGACCACATTTTGAACATTTATTACCAAAATGTCTTTTCATACAAAAGCAAAGAAAAATAAAGACATAAGAATATTTAAAAAAAAAAATTTTTTGTTAAATTTTTTTTACTTATAATAATCTTGTCGACATAAAATTTGTAAACCTTTTAAAAAACATGTCTGTTGTTTATCGAGTGCTATTTGACAAACAGCACATTGTAAACATGATTCATGATAAATTTTTGAACCAACACGTAAATAATATTGATCAGTTATAGCAATTTTACAAGCCGCACACATATGATATAGATTTTGATCATCATCAACATTCTCAAACATCTTTTAAAAAATAAAAGTAATATTAATTTAAAAAGTTTATCTTAATCAAAATTTACTTGTTCATCTTTAATATCATCCAGTAAAAGTAATTGAGTTAACTAAAGAGGAAATCAATGAAAAATAAATTATCTTACTTAAAGATTTTTCTTCTCATACCTTGTTAGTATGTACTTGATTATTAACACTTTCGTCATCCATCCGCAAGAGTGAATAGATACTCGTTATTTCTTTTCTTTCTTTTTTTTTTTGATATTTCTTTTCTACTCAATTTTTTCTTTTTTCTCTCCTTTCCGGAAAAGATAGACTCGCTTTTACTTCCTATTGGTTATTATGTTGATTATTATGTTGAAAAGAAATAAATGACAACCAATGAAATAATAATAGACCAGAAAAGAATACGGAGAAAAAAGAAAATTTCAGTATGGCATCAAAAGTTATCCTAGTTGATCAAGCGAATAATCTCAAGTGTTCAGCAAACATTGAAACGCAAGAAATAGTTGAACACATGTGATGATTGAAGTACTCTGCTATAAGCATTCTCCTTTTTTTTCTTCTATCTCTTCAACAAATTGACCGAATTCTCTCTTGACAAGAAAGTTTTACTAATAGAATTAGATTGCGGATTCTCTATTTACATTGTCTTGTAAATGAAACAAAACTCTCAGTTGAGAGAAGACGAAAGTCGGGAGGCCCCCAACGGCGATGAAAGAGCAATGCGCATAGTCTCGCGCATTGACATCTCATGCCAATCAAAGTTAAAGAAAAGGAAAGTGAATCGTGTCGTGGCCGGATACAAGCGTCAGGCTAATTGGAGGGAATGCATAGTTGAATAAAGACACACATATACACAGACAAATAATGAGCACTAGTGAATGACACAAAACAACAAAAAAGAACTATATATATATATTTTTCTTCTTCTGACATGAGATTAATTTATTGTTTTAAATTATATGAGTTTTGTTTTAGATTCTCATTTACTTATTACTAAAAAAAAAATATATATATATATCATGCTGTCTTATTTTTTTTATTCATCGCCTGCTGAGTATGTTCAGCGAACCTCTTTGACACACTTAAGCTGTTCGTCTATTTTTCTATATGTATATATACAGTTGTTTCACTTGTCCTGGTGGGCAAACCAACTGTCCCAATGAAAAAAAAACATATGTAGATAGAACAAGAAGGACAACTGTCTTCTTTTTCGCTGTTTTTTTTATTTTATAATACGATGTAATGATCGAGAAAAAAAGGATGTCGAGAATAATCTTTTATTATTATTTTTTTTCTTTTGAAAATTAGTAAAAATTCTTTCGAGCGTACAATACATTTTTCACCGTTGTATGTTTCCTGTTTCAACTTGTAATTAGACATCCGAGTCGATTTTATCAAAGAAACTAAAAGTTTGATTCGGTTTTATCACTTATTGATCGATCATTAACTATATGAAGTTTAGTGTTTTGAAAATCATTTGATTTATGAAGAATTTCTTTTAAATGATTTGATATTATGTATGATTCTAGTTGTGAACCATTAGAAATTTCTAAATCATATAAAACACAAAAAAATAATGTTGATGTTGCTAATGAGTAAACATTAAGAAATATTGCTGAACTTATATAAATACTTATACCAATGATAAGTATAGGAAACCATGAAAAATGTAAATTAATATTTGTTTCTATTTTATCAAGAATATAAGCAGTAAAAACACACGAACCAATCTGAATACAAGAAAAAAACTTTTTTTCTTTGATCTTCTAAATAAATAAATTTATAAAAAGTTTTTACTGTAATTGTTATACGTCCAATATATAAAAGAATGGCACAAACACGATCAAGTACAAATATACGTAAACAATTTTTTAATAATAATCTTGTTGCAGTTAAAGATGATGAACAAAACCATTTACCACTGATCGCCGTCTAAATAATAATTTCCTTTTTTTTGTAAGAAAAAAAAGAATGTTTTCAAAAACAGGTATTATACCATAATATATGTATATCTTGAAAAAAATTGAAAACAACATCGAATACAATTAAGACAACCTTTAATTAAGGTTAAACAACATTTGCCATAATTATTAAGATTCATTGCTTCCATTCGATCTTTAATTAAATCGATTAAAGTTCGTATTACATCAATAATAGCAATAAATGAACTACCAAATGCAATAGTACCCAAATGATAACGCAATGTTATTACTAAACCTTGAAGACATAGACATTTATGACAATAACCATGACAACATTTTTCATTTAATTGATTTATTTCCCAATAATAGGCTATATAATAAATTTTCATTTAGATTATTTAAAAAAACTTGTGATAAATTCAATTAAGCATTATGAAAAGACCTCTCAAGAAAACTTTAGTTTATTTTATTTTTTTAAAGATTATTCCTCGAAAGAGTAGTTCTTCAAATCAGAAGCTGGAGGGTAATCATTATGTTCAGATATTTTCAGTTATTCGAGCAAAACTTCACAGATGCTATTAAATTAGCCTTGATCAAGAGCTGTCTACGATTCATAAAAGAAGTTTCAGGGTGTGAGTGTGTGTCTTCGTTTCACTAACATCCATATCCAAAACATATTAGTGCAGCAAGAGGTTTACAGCAAAATCTCTCTAATGTGGATACCCTTATTGCGACCGATCGAAACGTGCCCACTTGACGGTGATACTTACTACACATAGATTTTCAATTTCTTTGTTGTTGCACTCCATGAAGCATTCAATCGCAATTGAAAACTCATATTTTTTTTCTTTTAAATATCTACAGCTAGCTCATTCTCTTTGTCTGTGTCCTATGACTGTTTATCATAAGGCAAAATAATCATGGGATCAGAAATAAGCGTCCACTGTTCAGAATAAGGTGGTGGTCATATTTGAGTCGATCTAATGTGTATTTTATCTTATGACTTACTATCTCAGTTTTTCTTTTTCAGTGAATAAAATGGGCAAAAACCATTTTATAATTTCAAATGAAGGCGAAAATCTTCTCTAATTCTTCTCTTTTCTGATCATCTAGATCTAACAATTAAAAGTGTGTAAACTTCTTTACTTAAATTGATAGTGAAAAGCGTTTTAGAATCATTTCTCAATTGCAAATATTACTCTTGCTTCTTTAAATAAAATCTAGTGAAACATTAATGCATCAATTCGAAACAAATAAATCGTTCGTTTAATATCTTCATGAATAATTATGTTTGAAAAAAAAAATAATCACATTTGTATTTCTTTCAGCGTTCATACTATTTTTGAATAGATCATTTTTTTCCTTCCATATTGTTTCTAATAACAAGGAACTTTTTCTCCATTCTTCATAGTTTTCATAAAACAAAACTATATATTTACAAGCAAATGTACATGCTAAAACCATTTCTTCAAGTGCAATTGTGAATGCTAATAACCAATAGATAATAAATATATTAAAAATATTAACCAACCATGAATATTGACTAAGAAATTGAGACAAACGATGACTCCATACTGTATTTAAATAATTTTCAAATGTTTCATCAACAAAACCATATGATACATAAACACATCGAATACGATCTATTGAACAATTTAATTGTAAAAAATGATCTGGATTACAATTATCTCCTTCATTATAATCCAAACATGTTTTAGGTATTGAACGAATATTTAATTTTATTGATTCATTTGATATAACATATGAATGAGAAGATTCATTATGACATGATTGACCAAAATCTTGATTACAACTTATTTGATAAATAGGTTGACCCTAAAATCAAATAATCAATTATAAATTTAAAAAAGAATATTTTATTATCTTTTTACCAAAGTGGAATAATAAGCAAGAACTAGAATACCCAAAATAACAAAACAAATATTCAAAATAAATGTAATTATAGGCCAAATTAAACTTGTTAATGCATAACTAATCGCTTTACTGGCTTCTTCAATAAGAGCTACAACAGGGAAAAAAAATACTAATGCTTTTAAACAATTGTATCATAAATCTCAATTCTAACCTGAAGCTAGTACAATTCTTTCCCATAAACAACATATACAAAGTATTAAAATAACACATACACAACAACAAGCAATACCTAATAGTAACCAAATAATACTGATCGATGCAAATTCATCTAACAAAATCATCGCTGTATCAAATTTTTCAAATGTTAATTTTTCATTATCTATGACATCTGTATGAATTATTATACTAGTATTATTAGTATCTAATTCATTTTCATTCAATGTTATATTCATTTCATTAAGATCAGGTACTCTATTGTTATTATTTAAATATTTTTGCATTCGAATACGAGTTGCAAAACAAAAACTAGCAGCCAAAGCAAATACAATAATACATAATATTAATGATAGCCATATAATCCATTGAACAAAATAACGTAATAAGAGCATGTAAATAAGAAGAATTATCATTGAAAAAAGAAATGATAATAAAATAATATAACGACTTTGAATTAAGTCTTCAAACATATAAGACAAAAGACGTTTTATTTGTAAAAATTTTTTAAAATATTTGAAACTATTTTGTATTACATCTTTATTTGGTATAATATCATCATCGGTCTAAATTAATATTCAATAGATATATTATTAGTTAGATATAAAATAACATACTATATTTTCACCATGATTTTTGATAATATCATTTGCTTGTTTAATTGTTAAATTTAATGCATGAACAATAATTGATGGAATACATCGACCATAAAAAGCTGTTGATGGAAAAGAATAAGGAGCACAAATTTTTCGTTCTTTAACAAGACTATAGATAGATATTTTTAGATTGTCAACTTGTGATCGCGCTGATTTTTCACACTATAATAACAAAACAAACACAACCATTATCTCAACTAAGAATATAACAATGACAGCGGTGTACCAGTCTTACGTACAAATCGATGGTGGTCTTAGATAAATAACGATTCTTTCGGTATAATCTATAGGTGATTTGTCGAGATTCTCAAGTTCATTTTCTTCGTTTCGAGCAAGATTTAGTTCTCACTGTTTTAGTCATGTTTTATAAATGTTCTTCAACCAAAAGAAGTCGAAATAAACTTCAGACTACCATAGTAAGTTCGATTTTAGGCTGATTCATAATTATTCAAATAAGATATAAAACAAACATACTAAAAGTTGTGCTCGAATTTGTTGACTTCTGTTTTTCTTATTTGTTATTAATTTTAATTCTTGTGCATACAATAATTTATAATGATAAAAATTTGATGGACATTGTTCAACGCACACTTGTGGTGTTGGACATCGTGCACCAACCAATACATATTTGATACATTTGATAATATCAAAAAATTGTAAAAATTTTCGATCTATTTGTGAATCTACACCGCACAGATGACCTTGTGTATCTGTTGGATATATAAAACGTTGTAATGAACCTTCACGAAATACAAAGATAACAAAAAGAATATAAAGAATAAGAAGAATAATGAAAATAAGTAAACATGGCCAATCGGTACAATCTCGTTTTTTGTTATCAAATATTGAGAAGTGTAATGTCAAACTTGACTGTGATGACATTTTCTTTTTACTAGAATCTCTGTTATTTTGATATGATTCATTATCTGATTAGAAGCAGCCGTTGCATGAGTCATGAACGTATTAATTTCGAAGGAAAGTCTGAATGAAGAAAATTCTTTTTATAATGCGAAGCACGGTTAGAATCGGTCCGGATGGAACCAAATTTTCACCATTCCATCATTTCAAAATTGTTGTTGATATCCAAGACTGTTTTCCTACTGAAAACAGTGTTTTTATGATATTTTCAAGACAGAGGAATGTGTTTACGAAAGACTCAATAGACATCTTGTCTTCGACTGGACCATAAACGATTGATTTTTCTGTTTATGTTTCTATCGATTTCTTTTTTGTGTATCGCTTAGCTTAATCTATATCAAATAATTTATTTTCTTGTTCTATATAAGCAGCTGTCTGAATCAAGAAAAATAAATATTTACATTTCTGTGTTAGATTTGTTATAAATTTGTTTTTTTTAAAATTCAGATGAAAAAATACAGTTCATCTAAATAGTTAATGTATATTGATATCGGGCTCGACAAGTCAATATGCCTTGCTATAAAATATGATGATGAGTTTCATTCCGAAGTTTTAGCTTTCAGTTTGAATTAGTGATAGCCATTTCCTGTTCATTTATTTTAGATATAAGTTTTTGACAATTCAAATTTTCAAATCTGAAAAATTTAGTTCTAGCTTAAGTTTAATTTTCTTCAATTTTCGTAAATGTTAATTGATTACTCTTAAATAGGATTTCTACACGTGAATATTCAATTATCCTTTCACACTATTTTATGTTAACAGATACTTTTATAGGCGATTATTTTCGCCGAAGTTTTGCCAGTTTGGCTGTAAAATTCATTCGACCAGTTACTGATCGGTTCCAACACTACATAGAAGTATGCTAACATATGTGCCAATCCAACGTTGAAAATAGTTCGTATTCAATGTGCTATAGCAAATATAAATCCATATAAAAAAATAAACTTTTGCAAGAACTATTAGTATTCCTATAAATATTTATCATTTGTTTTCTTTATTATTACAGTTCATTTGTCTTGGATACATAAATATTGATATGGTTACGATTTTTAAAAAATGAATGTTTATATTTCTCTTTCTTACAGACTTGACTTCTTTTGTTTTTAATAATATTCAAAAAAAAAAACAACAGATTGTAATACACAAAACACTCCCGAAGAACAAGAAACAAACAAAAAAAAGATTAGAGAAAACAAGCACCAAATAATTTTATCTAACTTGTGACTTTGGCTGATGTAATAATCATTGATGAAACATCACCTCTCGTTTTAACATTCCGTAATGAAAATGGTTGTTGTCGATTATTCTCATTTTTATTAACTGTTGTTGCAATTCGACGTTTCGAATTATGATGATGATGATGATTTGACGAAGCTAAAACTGATTTTTGATAATTTAATAATGGAAACATTTGTGCATGTTGTTCTAATGCATTTTTTGCAGCAGTCATTTCAGCATCATGAATTGATCGTCCAATACCAACAGATAAACGTTGTTTACGAAAAAAAACACCAACTTTATATTGAACATTATTTGATGATCCAATAGATTTTAAAACTCGATATTCAGGTAATGGTGGATTACGATCATTTGGATCACGTAATGCTAAACAACAATGTTGTAAATTTGATTTTGGATCATTCCAATGTTGTGTTGATATAAAATCTTGTAAACGTGGAAATATAGTTGCACGACAAAATGCATATATGGATTCTAAACCTTGATCAATAAATAAAGCAGCTATAAATGCTTCAAATACATCTGCTTTAGCTTTTAAAGATTTTTCAAATAATTTTGGTGTTGTTATACGAAGTTGTTCACGAACATAATCTACATATACTTGCATACCTAATTCATCATAGATTACAGCTTGTGTTGGATTAGATACAGTACATGAACGAAGTAATGATAAATGACCTTCATGATGTTCAGGAAAATGACGATATAAATAATCACTTACAACAAAATTTAGTACAGTATCACCTAAATTTGATACAATATTAGTTTCATTAGAAAGCTTAAATACTTAGGACATATTAAAAATGATAATAGAAGTACTTCAATACTGTAGAGAAAGATTTATTCCTATTATAATGATTAAAATTTCGATAAGAGTTGTTTTGAATACAATATATATTGAACAATAGTTGTGTATTCAATTCGTTAAATAAGTCAAATTTTTTTTGACTAGAGATCATAATTTAATAAGTATCAAAATATTGAATGAAACTATCTTGGAATACATCAGTCTATATAAAATTGTAGTCAAAGACAAATTTCTCTGAACTCACTCTTTATTTACTATGTTCGTTTTTAACAAAATCAATGTTTCTGTTGTCTTTTATCGGTTATTGGATTAAAGGATTTATATTGATACGTTTTATTCATAGTATTGTTTTATATGTATTTATCGATAATAATTCGTGAGATTATCTATTACAATCAAGACAAGCAGATATACAGTTTTAGTTTACTAACTACCGACTTAGTTTTCACTCGAGCATCGAGTCACACCGATATAACAAAAGCATATTTTGACAAAGTTAATATCTCACGATTATAGTGAATGTGAATCTTATGTCAATGACTCAATATTCAATATTTACACTATTACTACACATTTCTAGATAATGTGAATATGATTTTATCTTACCAAGAAATTCTAATCTTTCATTATCTTCAATAGTTAAATCATTTTGTGGTATTGGTCTTGTACAAAAAGCTTGTGCTAACATTCGTATATGTTGAAATTCAACACCAATATCTTGTTCAAATCTAGTTAATTGTTTTAATAAAGGTACTTGTTCAATTAAATGACGATCACTATTTGGATATTGAATTTTTAATGGATATGCTTGTAAATTATTCCATATATCAGTTAATTGTTTATCTTGATAAAAAAGAATTTTTGATAAAATTTTATCAACAATAGCCTAAACGAGAAAAAATAAAAATTATTTGGGTTTTTTTTTGTTAATAAACTTTTTTTTTTTATTACCAATCCACCATCGAGATAAATTGCACCCATTAATGCTTCAAATGAATTTGCTAATGCATGATTAAGTGCCGAATGTGAACATAAATCTGGTCCATGATTATAAATAATAAAATGTTGTAAACAAAGATTTCGTGCTAATGATGTAAAAAAATGATTTTGAATTAATCCAACACGAAATGTTGATAAACGACCTTCATCAAATTGTGGAAATAAAAAAAATAAATGTATTGATACAAGAAGTTCTAATAGAGCATCACCTAAAAAAATATATATTTTAATAAAATTTTATTTTATTTTTTTTTCTTCTAACCAAGAAATTCTAATCGTTCATAATTTGTTATTTCTGATATATGTTCACATGTTTTAGCTTTTTTAGCCATTATTTTAAATAATGTTGATACTCCACGTTTAGTTATTGGTCGAAATAATTGTTTTCGATCACCATAAACTGTATTTCGTATTCGACAATTTGCCTTTAAGAAAAATAAATAAATAAATAAATAAATAGAAATTTTAAGACAAACATACTAAAGTATTTTTAACATGATCTGGATTTGGACCAAGATTATTATGTAAAACATAATTTCCACTTGGATGTGTTAATGCTAATTGCATTAACCAACGATTATGAAATTGATATCCAAGTAATTGATTTTCTAATTCTGTTAATGATTGATGAAAACGTAAATGATCATGTAATGATGATAGTAATAATGAACGTTGAATTATATCTGATTTAAAACCAGTACGATATGCATATTCTGATGATATTTCTACGACAATTTCACGTTTTAATTGTTCAGCATGTTTAGCAACAATTTGTTTTAAACGTTGTTCTTTATCACGTAAATTTGCTTTATCTTCATCAGTTGGTGTACGATTTTTTAAAAGAAAAAATACTTTTAAATATGATTTATATGCTTGACGATATTCTTGATTATATTGTATAGATAAAACAGCAGGACGAATACCTAAAAATTACAAAAAAAAAAAATTTTCTTCTTTAAATTTAATTCTCTATTCTATCTATCTATTATTTATTGATATTAAATAATAGAAAATTTAAACTTTTAACTTTATATATGAATATATAAGCAATGAATGCCGTCATCTCTTTAGAAACAATAGGAAAATTTTCTATTCTAAGATATAACTATGATAATAGCTTGTCTTTTCTCTTCGTTCATATAGAGTAGTAAATTTTATGTTCTTGTTTAGGGATAGAAGTAAAATCAAAGGAACTTAAACTTTTACAATAAACTATTGGTCTAAACTATTTTCAGGATATTCATAGCTGATTAGGTTCTATAATGTTATTCGTAACCAGTATTTGTTAATGTTAGGAAAGATGATTTTTCGGTTATTGACAAGTTTGAATTTTTTTTTCGGTACAATGATCTATAAATTGTAAAATAATTTTTGTATAACTCTCAAAATTTACCAAAATGAACAATAACTGGATAAGAACTATTTTCTCGATCAAGTTGATCAAGTCGAATAGCAGCTGGACGATGTTTTGGAAACCAAACAATTGAACCTTGTACTTTAGATACATATTTATCCCATGCATCAACAGACATTGATTTACAACGTAAATATAAATCATTTGGCATTAAAGGTTTAAGATGTTTAAGAAAATATTGTATTTGTTCAGCTGGATGAAGTAATTCTTTTCCATTATCAGGTAATATACGTGCAAAACGAGGAAAAAAATGATAACATGTACAAGTTGATATATTATTATTATTGTTTAATGGTTGCCATTGTATATCATATAATTCACATACATCAATAAGAAGATATTGTTGAAGAAGATCAAGTTCTTCAATTGTATAATGTTCTAATGGAGTTTCTTCTTCTAAACCAATAGCATAATCAATATTATGATAAACAACAATACAATCATTGACCTTAAAAAAGAATATTATATAAATAGATATTTTCTTTGTTTTTTGATAAAAGAATTTTTATTTACATTAGCTAATGATACATGAGAAAGAACAGAAAAACCTTCAAATATATAATCATGATCATCATAAGTTATCACTGTTGGTTCTTTTAACTAAATGAATAAAATAATTATCTTATTTTCTTCAATATACAAAAAAAAAACTTACAACAAAATTTGTTTCTGGTGTTAAAGTAATACGATAATGAAATAATCGACCAGCATTATTATTCCATTTGTCACATGGAGAAATTGACTAGAAATAATCATTTTCTATGTATTTAATTAGAAATATATATGGAAAAAGATGAACACTAACGATTTGTAATTTTTAGAAATCAAAAGAGTAGAACTTCGAACATCTTTTTATCTCATAGACTATCCAATAAAAATTGTCTTTTTTCTTTTTCGAGAAAGGTGTAAAGCTAGAATTTCTACCACAGAACGAGCACGTAAAATAAACAAACACATGTTCAAAGAAGATTTTCCATCGGACACAAATCATCGTACATTACGATTCTCGTCGAAATTTTTCTAATATGTTTCTATCTCTGTAGAATACTTCTCAAGTATCTATGGTAAAAAAAAAAAAAAAAGTTCAATCTATTCGATTGTATTGTTAATTCTTCTTCAATAATATGTATTCAAGTATACCTTTTCACCATAAAACATTTGATGACGAATACCAAATTTACGATCATCATTACTACATCGACATACAGGACCATCATTACCCTAGAAATTTATCTATATAATAATAATAATAAACAAACTAAATTCTTCTTAAACCTGTTTATATTCATTAAACCAAAGTTCAGGATGTAAACGATCAGATACTTGTTGTTTACGTTCAATTTCTAATGTAAGTAAATTATCACTAGCTAAACTTGCTGCTGTTGCTTCACCTTCTTCTTCACCCTCTTCTTCTTCTTCTTCATCTTCATCTTCTTCTCCACTTTCACTTGATGCATCTAAATTTGAAGAAAAGAACATATTTAACAAAAATTGAATGTATTTTTTTTTTTTTGTTTTTTTTGTGAACCTTTAGATTTTATTTGAGATTTATTAGATTTTATATTAGAACTAATTTGTTTTGCTTTATGAAACATATTTGAATGATCAGGTTCATCAAATATTTTATTATCTTTACGAAATTTTTCACGTTGTACAAGAACATCAGAACGAAATTTTTCGCAAAGATCTTTTAATTTTTGTGTTGCATGAATTAAACGAGAATTCTAAAAAATATCAAAATAATAATAATAAAAAAAATAAACTAAATCGTACTTGTTCATCACGTCGATAATAAAGTTCAGATGTACATGTACGTACATATTGTGGTTTAGTTTTTGTTATTGATACATTATTTATTTCTTCATCAGAACTTGAACTACAAAAAGCAAAAAAAGAAATTATATTTAAACAAATGAAAATTATCAAATAAACTAATTTTCATACTCATGATATTCATCTTCAATTTTATTATTATTTATTCGACGTCTTTTTGATACTGGTGATAATATAGATGGTTCACGACGTGGAATATTTCGATCATCATTACGAGATGATTGATCAAAATTATATAAACGTTTATTACTAATATTTTTATTATTATTATCACGTAATGATGATGATGAAGAAAAAATATTTCGTTTTCGATCTTGATAATCAGTTTTTGAAATTGATAATTGTCTTACATCTTAAATACAATAAAAAAAAAAAAAGAAAAAATTTATGATTGGAAAAAAAAACAAAATATTTCACCTGTTGATCTTCTTTGTGAATTATCTGTTAATAATGATGATGGACGATTTCCAGTTGAAATATTAGAAGTAGGTAAAGGTGGAGGTGGTACAGAAAACATATGTTGAAAAAATTGTTGTTGTTGTTGTTGTTGCTGATGAAATGCATACATAGCTGCAGCTTGCATATATGATTGATAGAAAGCAGCTGGTGATGGTGGTGGTGGTATGGAAGTTATAGGCGATGGTGGAATAGTAAACATTGGTGAAATATTCGATGAATCCTGTTTATTAGATTGATTGTTATTGCTCATACTTTTTTTTTATTTTTGATTTAACTGGAATATAAAGATATAAATAAAAAGAGAAAAATACAAGGCCAAAAGTTATTCTCGAGTTCCGTGATGAACGATCATGTGCGCCACAAAGTTCGTTTAAGTACAAGTGGTTTCGTACATGATCGTAATTGAAACAGAGAACAAACTAAATATTTATATTCAAATCTCGTTTTTATATCGAATATTGTCTAAATAAAATGAATATTTTTAAATAACAAAACAAAGAAAAAAAAAACGAACAATATGTCTAAGTATATCAATAATATATCTATTTCATCAATTACCTATTTTATTTTATACTAATTAATTGACTTATTAAGCATTCAAATGAAAAACAAAAGATTATAATTTAATAAATAAGTTATAATATTAAACTAAGTAATAACATACTAATGTGAGAAAATGAATAAATGAAATAACATGTAAGATACTTTAACAAATAAAAAACTAGTTAAATTGATGTCGCTGTGTATCAATAGTGAATATTTTATTAAAGAGAAAATATTGCTTCAATATTTTAAGCAAATTGCCAATAATACATATACCAAATGTACAGAACATCTTGAGATTATGAAATATATCCTGTATTGATAAGATTAGTACATGTATTTACCACTTATTAGTTTTACGATCTTTTCAAAGTGAATTATTTTTTTTCGAGTTGTTCTAAAAGAATAACTGAATCTACGTATATAAATGAAAGGAGAAGAACACAACATACATTTTGTTAACTAAAACTTTAAAAAAAAACAAATTATCTAAAATATGATGAATTTATTTTACAACAAACTACTGGAAACTCTTTATCATTTTTCTAAAATGACATTCAAAAGAGTGTCCGACTTTGCATGAATCAGCAGATTCTTTGAAGTTTCACGGAATATGTTTTCCATTTAGGTTGTTTCTCTCTCTTTCGAATATCATATTAGACAAATGAGAAGGAATTTACAAATAAATATCGTGTGCTGTTTGTCGTACAATAGTCTCATTACATCATAGAAACTCGTTTTTCAAAAGTTTTAGTTATTAAAATGTTGTTCGCGTGTTTCTCTTGCGATTCATATGAGCTCAGCTTTTTTCTTTTTTAGAAAACCTTGGGAAACAAAATTAATTCAATTTATAAGCTTGCCCAGAATATTTTTATCAATATTTATTGTCGATTAAAGTAAAAAATTTTCTATAGTTTTTAGTTTTTATACAGTTTTCTGATGAAAAGAAAGTCTACAGATATAGATTAATATGTATAAGGATAATATAAGAAAATATTGTATTTCAGATTTCAAATGAATATGCTAATTTTAAAAGTAGCTCATGATTGTAATGTCAATTAATGCGATATTCTATTTACTATTGATAGGAATTCAAAAATCTGTGTTCTATTGCATTGATTAAATATGTGTTTTATTGCATCAATCTACGAGCAATTAAATTGATCCCATTTTACTTTTATGATTACATATTTTAAAGCTGTAACAAATATTTCAGTCTTTTTAATCCTTTTGAATGAAGGTTTGGATGAAGGAGACACGTTCATTTATACATACGCATATTCAACATACACTCAAAAGAGCTAAAAGGTGAAAAATATGAACGTCATAGTAGTTTAAAAATTATGAATATAAAACAGGATAATTTCAATTTTTTTTGTAGATCTCTCATTTTGTTGGTTTTGCCAATAACAACAACAATAAAACAAACTTATAATTCTTACAATATTAGATATACTGGCACGGTTAACGTTTTTTAAATTTAGTCTATTCCTTTTATTTTAATTCTTTTTGTCTATAAGTCATTTAAACATTTTATTATTATTAAAAAATATAAGCATTTTTTAACAAGTTTTCTGTATTTCTCATTTATGTCGTCAACTTAAGCTGTTATTTCCTCGAATGTAGTGGTCTGTTTTTTTCTTGTATAATTTCCGAGAAAATATTTGCATTGAGACGAAAAATTTATTTTTCTTCCAACTTGCTAGTTACAAAAGAAATATGAATAATAGTTGATGAATATCATCAATTTTCTTATTAACATAATATATGAATAAATAAACTTTCATAGAATGATTTAATCAATTTAAAGCTTAAGAAACTAAAATGAAGAATTTTATATTCAAAAGCATTATCAATTCTTATTACAATGATGTACACATATTATCCAGTTCGTAAGAAACTACGTCACGTCGATGCTATTTGTTGCATAAAATTGCATAATTCTTCTGCATAATTTTTTTGTTCATATGCAATAAAAATTTATTTACTTCTAAAAAATGGTAATATTTATAATCTAAATTGCAAACACAATGTTTTTTGTGTGGCAAATTACACTATGAAGTGGTATAAAAATGAAAATGAATAATAAGATTAATAAGAAAAAAAAATGTACTTTTTTCTTTATTTTTTTCCGGATTTTTCTTCGATATTCTTCAGCATCGATTCGCATATAAATGTAGTGAGAAAGTATCTTGTTGTTGCGTACAGGTAAAAACCACAAGAACATGAATGCACTTCTGATCTGTATTGTTTTCGTAAGCTGTTTTTTTTTGTATTTAATAGGGTAGTTATCTTTACTTTATTTTCTTTTATACAGTTATGTGTGGCTCTTGCTTCATGCAATCGAGGTGGAGGTCCTAGACCCTTTGGTAATCATGGACCTTTTAATGGAGGACAAGATATGTCGGGAGGTTGGAATCGACCACATGGTAATAACAGTCAGGCTGATAACTGGGCCTCAAAATTATGCGCCAATGACACATGGGCTCAATCATATCTTACTCAAACTCGACAGACGATCAGCAGTCTTCGATCAAATGGATCATTTGCTCAAGCTCTTCAAAATCGACAACAAGCTATAGCTTATCTTGAAGATGAAAACAATACAGATCTTCTCTCATCAAACTGTACTGCATTCTTCAGCGGTCTCGAAAGTGCTAGAAAGAGTGATAGAGACGCTTTGGACCTACAACGTCAACAAGATTTTGCAGTTGGTCGTGCACTTTTTAGCATTATTCAATCACTTGTGGGAGGCAAGCGTTATTAAGTTGATGATTCAATTATTTTTACTATATGAACACTTTATATCCTTTTTTCAATTTTCATAAATCGATCATCTAACAGATCGAAATAAAAGTCATCTGTGACATGTTTTAATTTAATTAAGATGTTATTGTTGAACACAAGCATAAATCAATTTATTAATATGATTTGAAATGCTGTTGAATAATATACCTAATGAGAAATTGCTAAAAAAACACCGAATATATAAGATCTTTGTTAATCATTCAAATCATCATGATAGAATTGCAATAGAGTTATTTAAATTAGGTGTTATTTTATTAGCAAATAAATCATGCTAAAAATAAAAACTAAACAATCAGTAAGCATTTCATCCAAATTCGGCAATCTTCATTTCGCTGATTAAAATGATCAGCGATGAACATAGCTGATACTTGCACTATCTTTCTATATGGTATACATACAAAAATCGAATGAAAAGAATAATCACCGAAACAAAGATCAGTAGACCATCGAGAGGTGTTCTGCTGTGAGATAGTTATACATACCTAGAAACTAAATATTCTCTTTTATGTGAATAATTTGTTTGAAACAAAATTATACTGACTCAAGCATAAAATCAAGCTTAATAAAAATAATATATTCAGAATGATTTTTTGCATTATCAAAAATATGAAAATATCAAATGGTAAATAGAACAATCTCATAATGTGTATTATATGTTTGTTTCATATGATCAAATGTTTGTCTAGAGTCGAGTAATACCATCAATATGTTTTCAAAACATATTCTCGTTATTCCATCTTAAGATTAATCTAAATTTCTCATTTGATGTATGGAATCCCATCAATGAATATTATTAGCAACTAATATCAAAGTATTTACTCCTTTACTTATAATTTGATTGCACTAGAAGGAAATTGCATTGTGTTGTTAATGGAATTTTATGTTTAACTAAGAAAAAATAAATAACTAAATACAAATAATATTTAATAAACTATTAAAATAGAAAAATTGCCGATATATTAATCATTCTACATATGTTTACTAAGATTTTCTCCATGCCTGTTAATTTCAATAATTTTCGAAATGACATATTCAATTAGAGATAAAGAAAGAAAAAAAAATATTGAACTGAACAGTCAATATAACAAAATTATCGTATTAAAACTGAGGAAACAATATTACATAAAACATGAATATATCATCATCTTTTTTCAAGTATTTATTAAATTTCCATTTCAATTAAAAACTATATATGAATCTCAATGAATGGATTTCAAATACTGAGATTCCTATCGATAACATGAATGGTTTTTTTTTAAGCTATTGAACATTATTGCTATACACACTATCATAATCAAATTATTGATTTTTATTCATAAAAAAGAAAATCATTAAACCAACATAAGATACGACATAATTATCATATGTAGGGATATCACATTAACTTAAAAAATAATTAATATTTTAATAAAGTAGTGAACATGATGTTAAAGTATCACTACCAACGAGGGAACATTCCCAACTGTCACATCACTTTTAGGTCGAGCGTATGGGCATTATGTAGGTCCTAATGATCTATGAATCCTCTCAAAAAAGTTCATGCCGCTAGCTTCTTACTGCTGAGATATAACATTTTTACTATATGTTTCGAAAAAAGCCGTGGTCCCCCTCAGGAGCATCAGGAAAAGTGAGTTTAGAGTTTCCGCCTGAAACTTTGCATATGGATAGGTCTCAATGAGAATAGTTTATTATGAAGGTTTCAGATTTTGTGATTGCTCCTAGCCTGAAATAAGAACACCGGATCCGCTGGTATATACTAGCAATTTTATGATAACTGTATCTTAGGATAGGAACAATGAAAAAAGCTGAAACTTTCACAATAAAGTATCTCACTAAGGCCTATACCTATGCAAAGTTTGAAGTCGAAATTTTAAATTCAGTTTTCCCCGTGTTCCTGAAAGGGACCACAGCTCTTTTTTATTAAACATACAGTAAAAACGCAGTATCTCAGTAGTAACAAGCTAGTGGCACGAACTTTTTTCAGAGAATTCACTGATCGTTAGGATCTACATAATGCGCATATGTTCGACTTAAAAGCGATGTGACAGTTGAGAATGCTCCCTCGTAAGTCATGTCTTGATTCAAGAACATTCAATAATTTTTCTTTCTTTGCATGAGTAATAAGGTTAGATCGTATAACATAAATAAAAAAAATGTAGAAAAAAGAAAAGGAAATCTTATCCTCAGGAACAAAAACGATCATCACTCCACTCATTATAATAAAACTGCCTTCTTATTGTTCTTGATGTCAACAAAAATACTTCAGTCATAGATAAGTGAGACTCAAAAAAAGATCGTATAGAAAATAAAACTTAATTAAAAGACAAAAAGAAATATATATATATATATATATTGACTTGTCTTTCTAAATTAACTAAGTACAAAATCAAAAAAAATATATATATGTAAAAAAATATTCTTAATGTCTATTTGATTTTACTCCATCGATCATTAATCAACAAGTTATATAGTCTAATTCGTACAACATGTCATCATCAGAGGTTGCTAAATTTAGTTTATATAATAATATGTTTTCTTTTGTCTTGTTAATATTTAATATTGCACCGTAGTTTTTTATTTAAACCTAATTACATTAATTTATATTAATCACAGTTAATTTGCACATTCAAATCTTATTAATATCATAATATTTAATTAAATAAATTATTCTAATTTATGTTGAATGTCTTGGTCGATATGTTGCTCGTAATTCTCTTGATAAACGTCTTTCAACATCACCAACTAAACGATTTCTATCTTCAAATGTTTCAAGTTCGACAATATTTGTATTTGATGAACTTGTATCAGTAATCATTACTAGTGGTATATGTTTTGAACTTGATGTTATACTTCCGTCTGTTGTTGTTGGATCATCTAATAATGAATGACGTCGTTTTCCATCATTTTCGAATTTTGATTCTCGTGTTGATGAAATCACTAATAATGATTTACGTTGTGGTTGTTCGTGTATTTGTTGTTGTTGCTTTGAAATTGTATTTGTTAATAGACAACAAGAATTTGTAGTTGTATTTGATAAACGTCGAGTAATTGGATTAAATGAAAGAGTAACTTTTGTATTAAATTTATAAAATTTTTGTACATCTTTTGCTTTTTCACAATCATTTTTATTTCCAATTTTTGACAATGAAAGAGATGAACGATGGACATAATGTTTTGGTTCTATCTATAAGAAAATAAACAGTAATAAAGAAACAAAAATTTTTTATTTTGTAATTCAAACTACTAGTTGAACAATATTTGACGTATTTGGATTAATTTCCATCGAAGGTTTTCGATCATTATCAAACGTAGAAAAATTTTTTAATTCATCGCCACTTGAACTATCTGTTTCACGATATAATGAAATTTTTTTTCCTATATTAACTAAATTATAATTACGATTTAATGATCGTTTAGTCATAGCTTCAACCATAATTTGAACGTTATTTGAATTTGAACAAGAATTTACTGATATAGACTCTTTTCGTAGTTTTCGTTTTGTTTTTGGTGATAATCGATTTTTCAAATTTTCATTATCAATCGTTGATGATAATGATTTTGATGGACAAAAAATACAATGTTGTTTAAGTTGTGATAAAAAATGACAAATCGAATAGCAGCATATTGTTGATGAATTAAAACGACGATTACGTTTAGAACGATTTGATTGTTTTCTAGCTAAACTTGAACTACTGTCATATAAATGATGATGTGGAATTGATGTTTTTATCATTTGTTTTGATCGTTGACATTTCATATGTATAATTAAAGCAACCATTATTCCGGACCATACAACAATAATAGCTGATAATATAACTGTTAAACGAATAAGAATACTTTTCAATGATTCACCTAACAAATATCGACGAAAAATACTAGTCGTCAGAGATATGTCTGTTGTAACATTGTTCATTATCCACTTTTATAAAATATCGACATAAATTAATATTTATATGTAAGTATCTAAATTTGTAAAGAAAAAACAAAAATTCAAAAATTTTTCAAATTGTTTTTGCTTTCTAAACTTAGAAAATTCTAAAATGGCCAAAAGGAAAAAAAGAAAACGAGACACATTTCATTCCTTGATGAGAATCAAATGGCATATATGAAACTATATATCATGCAAGCTACTAACCTGACGTCTATCAATTTTTAATAGAAAAAAAACTAAGTATAGAAAAGAAACCTGACTTGAATGCTGACACTCAAAGCAATCATAAAAAAAAAGAAGGAAAAGAGTTAATTATATCTATATACGTACCTACAAACATATATTGTTTATTACTTGAAACAAGAAGTCTCTTCAGGCTAATGACATCAAATCATATGACAATCATCTCTAACTTCATTGCTATAAAACTAGTTTTGATAAGATCCGATTGTTATAAAAAGCAGATATGGTACTTGATGAAGAAACAAAAGGCAAATGAGAGAGAAGGAAAAAAAAGAGAAAAGACGACTGACAACTTTTACTTATTCATTCCCCATCCGCTTTTCAGGTTTCTTCTCTTCCCCTCCCCCCCCCTCCCTCTCTCTCTCTCTCTCTCTCTCTCTTCATATGTAACATTATTGTTTTTGCTAGAGTTAGAGAACCATAGAAAAGTGTAACTATCGAAAGCAAACGCAGAAAAGAACAAAAAAAAAAGAAAATGGATTAACTTGAATTGTCGTTGAGGTGTTATTTGAGCGGAAATAAATCTGCTTTCTCTCAATCATATGTGGTCGGTCTCTTTTTTTTTGTTTGTGTCTATATACAACTTCCGTCTTGTTTTGTCAATTTATTTTTTCGAGTCGACTCACTAGTCAGCTATATACTGATAAATCGTTTCGATATTAATGATATATAACTCACAAACAGGATCCGATGCAGTTGATCATGTTTCAAGAGTCATTGCTTGTTTATATATGTTAAACTGTCAATGACAGTATGAAGAATTTTTTTTTTGCGTGTTCATTATGAGGAAAAAAAATATAATAATTATTTTTTAATAACATTAACCTGTCAAAACGTCTTCCTGTCATGCTGATGAGTGTCCTCGAATGACGGATGAAGATCTGTCTTTTTCTTTTTTTTTTAACAAACTCATTTAAATCTCATATTCAAATTGACCTTATTTACTACGAGAATTTTTATGTCTAATTATAAAGTTTAAAGGAAATCATAATTCTGCTAGAATGATTTTACTTATTAATTAAGAATGTGAAGCTTAACTGAAAAGAACAAAGGAAAAAAAAACATGTTATCATAATGACAAAATGAAAACTATGATTATCTAGATTTAGTTATGACATATATCATAATTTAAAAAAAAATAAAAAAAAATAAGTTTATTATATAGTGTTGATAAGTATTTCGACATTGTATTCATAAATTAAAAACAATTTTAAGTCTCGTCATTGTATTGTATTATTAAACAAAATGAATAAATCAATTCTATACTATTCAAAAGAAATATTCTATTGTTTAATAAGATATGATTTAGTTATTTTTAATCAATTATACAAATAATCTTTATTTCGAAGATGTAGTCAGTTCTTAAAATGAAATAGTTACATAAAAAAAAGATACAATAAAACCTGTCTTCAAAAGTAAACAAAAAAAAACTAATCATTTTTCATTCCTCATTTGTAGTTGAAAAGGCATATTGAAGAGCAGTTTCAATATCATCAATTAAATCCTGTGTATGTTCAAGTCCTACAGATATTCGAATAAGACCATCAGTAATACCTAATTGACGACGATATTCTTCAGGTACACTTGCATGTGTCATTATAGCAGGAAGTTCAATCAAAGATTCATAACCTCCAAGTGATTCAGCTGTTGTAAATAACTACAAACAAAAAAAAATAACAAAGAATATTTTTTTTTTATTGGGTATAAAAACTTTTGACTAACTTTAAGATGTTTTAAAAATCGTTTACTTTTATCAACTTCATCACCTTTAAGATAAATCGATATCATTCCACTAAAACCAGACATTTGTTTTTTATATAAATCATGTTGTGGATGTGATTCTAATGCTGGATAAATAACACGTTCAACATATTGATGTTGTTCAAGATATTTAGCTATACGTAAAGCTGATGACATATGTTGTTTCATTCGTACAGCTAATGTTTTAAGACCACGATTAACAAGATAACAATCGAATGGTGATGGAACAGCACCACTAAAACAAAGCGTCTTTTTTTCCTTTTCAAACAAAAACTAAGATAGATTACTTTTCTTACATAGCATATTGAAGAAAACTTAATTGTTTATAAAGTTCTTCATCATTCATCATTAAACAACCCATAATAACATCGGAATGCCCATTCATATATTTAGTTAATGAATGTAAAACAAGATCAACACCAAGTTCAAGTGGACGTTGATAATATGGTGTTGCAAATGTATTATCAACAAGAACCATTATTTTTGAATTATATTTATGAACAATAGTAGATATATGTTCAATATCAGCTAATTTAAGTAATGGATTTGTTGGAGTTTCAATCCAAACAAGACGTGTAGTTGATTTAAGATGATTAGTAATTGAAGATGGATCTGTTGACATATCAATAAATGAACTTTCAACACCCATTTGACTCATACACTGTCTAGAAATTTAAAAAAAAAATTATTTCGAAATAATTTCCTATCAATAAAAAGAAAAATAAATAAACCTAAACAATCGTCCAGTTCCACCATAAACATCATCAATTGATACAATATGATCACCTGATTTAAGCATAAACATAAGTGTTGTTGTTGCACCAAGACCTGATGAAAATGTTAATGCGTATTTAGCTTTTTCAAGTGAAGCTAAACATTCTTCTAAACATTGTCGTGTTGGATTTCCACATCGACTATATTCATAAAGAACAGGTTTGCCTGGTTCTAATTGTTTAAACGTTGTTGCCATTGATATGGGTGGTATAACAGCGTGACCTGGCCATTGTTCAGCTTCTTGTCCAACACAAATGGCATTAGTTTCAAAACGTTTTTCTTGAATCTCTTTATGATATTTTTTATTTTCTTCATTTTTATCTATTTTTTGAGAAGTACTTGATAAATATCCTTCCATTCGTTTTACTACTCGAGATAATCTAGAAAGTTGCATCGATTATTAGAAAATAAATGTCTAAAATTAGTAAAATATGTAATTGTCTTCATAAATTCTTAACAATGATTATAATAACTTTATTGTAAATATTATTATACAAGAGACTTTTTCAATTATTCCTATAATTATTTACATATTTGAATTAAAAACTTTTATCAAATCTCGACATTAATCAGTTGAATTTATGTATGCAAAATCATTATCTTTTTTTTTTTCATTATTCACTTCAAATACTGTTACATCTATTAATAAATAATCATGAAAATGGTTAACTTATGTCAAAATAGAATTTACTTCTCTATGTACTAGGAAAAAAACCCTTAAAGAATGATTTCAAAGAATACTTAAGAATAAATTCATTGATATTGAAAATAAAGAATACGTATTGTTTGCTTAAATCAATTTTCAAAGAATATTATTATCATAAATAATCAATTGATTTATTATTGATCCATGAGATTTGACAGATGATAATTATGTTACATAGAAAACGCAGTCGAAGATAAAATCTCATATCAGACTAATCTGTTCAATAAATATGTTCTTAGATATATTCATTCTATTCATTCCAAAACATCAATAATATCTCCAAATGATCATCGACATATTTTGTAATTGAAGATAAACAAAAATCAATATTACGTGAAAATAATAAAAAAAAACAAAAAAGATGAAGTATGAGATTAAAATAAATACTGACATACAATTAATATTAATTAATCTAAATAATTGATTCAATTGTTACATATGTATCGATAACTATGATAATATAATCATACTTTCATTAGGATTGACTGAATCATAGGTTTTGCTGCGAAATTCAATCCAAATATTAGCGTTCATCTTGTTGTTTCAACAAAATAGATTAAAGTTTATTCTAAATTCGTTATTTCCAATATAAAAATAATTTTTTTTGTATTTAATGACTACATCAATGGAAGAAATATTGTCCTCAATTTATGATAATCTTAAATTGTTATTGGCAAGCTTATCGTCCTGTAAGTAATAACGAGCGTATAGTAATATATCCATTTCGACAATCACTGGAAAAGAAATGAATCAAAGCAAAAAGACAATAACAAGACTAATAAAATGGCAAAGAAAATTTAAGGGTATAGATCATCGACTCTTATCTTTCTTTATTGTTTCGACGATAAAAATATCATAATTAGAAATGAAAAAAGACAAGGTTAAAATGATAAGAAATATATTCTATTCAATAATTTTTTTCTACACCTGCTTTGTTAGTTATATCCCACGAAGCAAACTGAATCTATATTATCGACATTGAATGATTCATTTATTTTAACTCGTAAAATAAAATGTCATCTGATTCGATATTTATTTTACTCTATTCAATATAAAATCTCTCTTTTTTTTTATATAAAAAGAATAGATCTAGTGACATCAATTGTCGACAAAACTTCTACTAGTACGAATTAAATTTAAACTCTAAAGAGAATTCTCCTATGATTCATAGATATATTAATTTATATATCATTTTTTCCTAAAATAATATATGACTTTGACATATAACTAAAATGGGATATGATCACTTTCGATTTATTATTGCTTTTTTTATAAGAACTATTTTAGGTTAAGTAGTGTGACTATGAATATCTGTAAAAAAAATATTCACTCTTGCAGTTCATATCTAACTAAATTTAGTAAACTGATTAGATAATTATTTAAAACATAGTAAGCAAATAACTTTCAAACATTACGATAGAAAAGTTCCAAAAATTTCAGAATCGAATTTTCTTCATATAAGTGGCATTTATCGTAAATTTTCAATAAGATCAGACTCTGAAAATTCATCTAAACAAAATCACTTCTCAAGAGACCTTCTCATTTCATAGAACAAGACTTTTTTCGTGTATATATTCGTGCTCAGTTGCTTCACTAACTACAAATTCTATTTTTTTTGAAAAATCTAAGCATGTTCAAGAAAAATTGTATGTGAAGATTTCTTAGTTTCAAGACACTTTTAAAAATCATATTATTCAGTATTTCAAAATATTTTTTTTTTAATTGATAGTATTTGTACATGTAAATGCGTGCAATGAGAACTTTGGTTCTTTTCTTTGTGTGACATCACTAAAATTAGACTTTCAACACTAAACTCAATGGAATAAAGGTTCTACAATTGAGTTGTTCAGCATATCTAAAGAGATGCTCAACATACATTTAATGCATAGCATTTAGCCAAAATAAAGTTCAGAATCATAAGATATATGAATATTTATATTGTGAAATCATGTCGCTATCGAATAAAATCGACTATATACAAAGTCGTGTTGTTTTTCGTTAAATTTTACATTTTAATAAACATTATCTTTCTATCTTTGTTTTTGTAGAGTTAAGAAATTTCACAATGTGAAGATTCGAAAATAAAGATATTCTTTATGTAACTACATAAGTAGTATTCTATAGAATATTGAAGCAATTTTCTATTATTTCATACAAAAACTGTTTCTATGTAACAAGCGAATATGATAAGTTCATATGAATCATATCAACAAATAGATGTTTGAATAAAGAGTTATAATCAAGACAAAAAACACTCAAGAAAATTGTGTCTTGAATGATGGTTTTTTTTCTTTATGTAGCCGAATAAATATTGATAATATTCTATTACAATATGTTATGAAAGAACAAAACAAATCCAAACAATGACACTATATTAGGATATTGTGAAATTTTTTTTCAATAAATTAAGGTAAGTAAACAATTGATGTGTTTGTTTTTGTAATCTCATCTGCAAATCACAAAATCATTTAAAATAAATCTATGGTATATATTGAAAATCGTTATTAGAAGTTAAGAATCTGCCATTAAAACGAAGAATTCTCCTACTAATTATCAAAATAAATGAACAGTCTGATTTTCTTTTTCATTCAAAAATATTCAAAGAAAATAAAATCAATTTACTTAACACACAAAAATGTCATATAAAAAGTTAAACTTCATTAATTATCAATTAATAGAACCAATTTTCATTCAGCATATAATACTGGATTGTATTGTTATATGAAAGAAGAAATTATCTCAATATCTAATCAATAAACAAAATCATAGAAGCTGTGTAAGAAATCTATGCTCTTTATATCTAAAAGACAAACATTTCTTGATTCGAATTCCCAAATGAAAAAATTTCTCTAAACTTGAAAGATTTCCCTTAACACATGTTACCGCATATAGGTTGATTCTGTGCTTCTGATCATTGCTATTTTAAATAAATACATTCAATAAAATGCTGCATTATCAAACACAAACGAATAAAGAATTAAGATCAAAGAAAGTTGAAGATGTAATAAATTACTAAAGTTGATATGTGAAGAAGTTTATGTAACTTGAGAATGAAATAATCACAAGTAAAATTTTGTTTTTACTGGTTCGTATTGATAACAGAACGTACCGAAAATAAAATATGCGTATTATTATCATTCCATTGGCATTAATTGTCGTTTTCTGGTATTCGATGTACGAGCTAAAAACTTCAATCAATTGGAATGGCAAGATTGTGGTAATCAAAGTGTCACTATTAACAATATTGACATGACACCAATGCTTTTATATATTCCAGGTTTTGTTTACTTTATCCTTGCTGCTACATTGCAGCAGTCTGTTAGTTCGTTTTCGATTGACTTTTCCATATGCAAGAAAACAAACTGATCCATTTTCTTCCTTCAGTTTTTTATGTTAGAGGTTATACGAGTAAGTCTTAACATCATGCGTTCTGTTAATGGCATCACACTTCTAGTAAACTGTTATTTGGTTCATATACATATGATGATCTGTACATACTTTTTTCAAAATACATTAACTGAATTTCAACCTGGCAATTGTCCTCCAGCATTGGCTGTCTATGGCATTGACTGTACATGTCCATTCAATATAAGTTCTCAAAACACTTGATATTAAAAATCATCAATTTAATCTACTCGATGCTTCATAAACACTAGCAACTTTCTTGGCTTCTGGAAATTTCGATATAACGGTGACACAAAATTAAAAAAAAAACAATTTTTATATCTAATGAACACAACTAATCAGATCGATAAATAGAATGAATGTCTTTCCATCTTGTTCCTATAATAAATATTACATTAAAAACTAATAAATTCAAATTATTTTGCACATACATTATTAATATTGATGATTATAAAAAAGAAACAAACAACAATTTTGTTTAATAATGCCTTTTCTGATTGCTACGAGAGACAATGAAAGACTTTCTTTTCACAAAGTTTTTGATGTTAGTCTCCATTAGATTCAAAATTAAAATAGACAATACTTTGGTCTTTTTCTAAGGTTAAGAAATTTGGGAATACTATACAATTCATGAGCATCAGCTAATATTCAAAAAGGAAGGAATTCTTCAGAGGATTCAAATGTTTTTGAATTTCAATTGTTATATATGTTTGACTCAATAAAAAGCAAAGTTGGAACAGTATAAATGATAAATCACAAGTTATATTTAGATGCTTATCAGCAGATGTCGAATTTTCATTTTATCGGAGTATTAGTCTATTTGTTTTTGTTATGTATCTGATGAGAAACTAGAATCTACGCAAAATCAAATATTCATTAACCTATTCTGATAAAACTTTACAAGAAAATTTCATCTATTAATACTAAACGATTTAATAGAGAAGCATGAAAACAAATCTAATATAAACTGAGCAAATACTTAATATTCTACTAAGGGCATACCAAAAGTAGCCGCAGTGACATTTTAATACCGTATAGTAGACTTAAAGAAATTTTCTCACTACATAGTCTGATGGAGAAAGAAAAGCTCTATCTTTCTATGCTATATGATCATACCGCAACGAATATCATAATCATAAAATTTCGATAAGATGTATTTCGTTATCATATGTGCTGGTTGTATTATTACCGATTCTAAAAAATACGAATGAGTATTTTTTAAATACCTATTGATAGAAATAAGATAG